TTTCCGATGTGGTCTGTGCATATTTGCAGTGCATTTCTGTTTTTGTTTGTTTGTGTTGTATTTGCATCGCGTTTGTGTTGTGAGAATTTGCAGCGCGTTTCTGTATTTTGTTGTGTTGTGAGAATTTGCAGCGCATATATATATATATATATATATATATGTAATATTATATTATTATTATTAGTTGACATGTAAATAATACCAAATATAATATAATTTATTATTTCTTTTATATTTTGATATAAAATGTGAGCAGTTTTGATGAGATTTACTCAAAATTATAGATCCAAAACTAAAACAGATTCTTTAATAACCACCTTTTCTTCTTCATAATCTCTGATCCTAATTTAGTGTCATAATGTTTATTTTATTTTGTAACTTCAATTTTCAGGTTTTTATGCTGCATTTATGAAACTGGGAAATGTCGAAGTTTAGTTGATCTGGAGATTGCAGTTTCTGAAGGCCAGCATACCATATGCCTTACTAACCTGAACAATTATTTCAGACACAGAACAAACATATCCAATGACAGCTGTGTTATCGGAGGGAAACTCTGCTCTGCGGTGAATGGAGTCGTGGAAAACACCATCAATTCATTGGCCTTCCTCGGCACATTCCCACACTGTAACACTTGACAGCCTCTCAGTGATGTCTGTCTAGTATTTTATGTCTATCACAATCACACAGCAGGCGGACACTGGGGAAATATTTTATTTCTACAGAATCATTAAAATGATGGCGACGCGTTCACACGCTGCGGCTTCTCTCTCTCCCGACAGAAAGGTGTTTTCGTGTTTTTTGTCCTGTGAGTCGCAGTGTTTTTATACGTATTCGTCGCGTCTATCTGTCTCTAAGCGCGCATACAGTCGTGAGTTTCTGCTCGATGTCGGCAGAACCACATTTTTAGAGTTAAACTGCGCACGCCGAAGAGCTGCGGGATCTCGGTCTGGGAAGAATTGACAATAAAGCAGACTTGACTTGACTTGACTTGAAAATAGCTGCTGAGAGTCGCTGTGGTCAAGGCTGAGTTTTATTGGACGACAAAAAAGTTAAGCTAGTGTATTGCTTTTAGCAGTTTACAAATTAGACATATATAGTCTCTTCTGGGAAACAAACTAGTATTGGCTCATTTTGCATCTTGTGCTTGAGTGTAATCCATTGTTTTGTTCAATCAAATGCTCTCCAGAATGTAATACTGCACTGAAAAAAAAAAACGTAAAATAAAAAAATTATTTAAAGTGCAATTTTATACTGGTCTAATCAAAAATCATGGTTTCTTTTAATATGATATATATTTTAAAAAGACATCACAATACAGACATCACAACTCGTTCTTTTAATAGTAAGTAAACTAAAACATTGAGTAATACAACGTGTTTAATTCTGCTTTCATATTATAGCTAATTTAACTTTTATGGTGAAGTTGTAAAAAAACAAAAGAATTATTATATTGAACTACATTAATTAACATTTTGGCTCCTCTCTAAAAATATGTTGATTAAGTATGGTCTATATAATAAAAAATCTTTTTACTCTGTATAAATGTTTGTTTTGTGTGTGTGTATGTGCATGTGTGTTTGAGAAAATAAGTATTTTTCATTAATATTGATCAAAATTTAATTTGATAAATATAATTTGAGAAAACGAATAAATTTGACTAACAAATTAGAGTATTTTATAAATTAGTTCAAAGTATCACTTTTCATTATAATGACTCCTGGCTATTTACAAAATAAACTTCCTGTTTCAATAGGAAATATATCAACACATAAAAGGGAACTGCACTTGGCAAGCCATCACATAAGGTCTTTATTGTAAAGCCTGTATATTTCCTGTCTTAACTAGAAAGAAAAGATGTCCTGTTATCCATGCAATTTGACAGATGATGTTTCAGCATGAGTGTAGGCGAGCACCAATCTAGTCCATGGACCTTTATTCACTGTGAAATGTGGAAATGAAAGCCCTGTGCTCAATAACATAATGAGAACAAACACCAAAAACGAATACAACCCACATGCAGCAACTCAGAATTATCCGAAACATCATCAGATGTTCCTTAATAATGGACATGATGTCAACCATGTTGTTCCGTAAAAGCATTTTGTAATATATTCCATGTAATGGAAATATAACAGCATACTGCTAGCAAAACCCTATGTCAGCATGGCAGGTTGGTGAGCTGTCGTGATGGATGAGATGACCTTTCTTTAACGTGCAAGAGTTGCAAACCCATCACTGACTTTGATTTGGTCAGCTAAAATGTTCAGGGTGGAGATGTAAAGCATTTCATATACAAAACATTTAGTAAACGCTGATTTACGTTCAAGCCATGATTTAACACTACTGTGTGATAAATACTAATACTAAACGTGTCAGTATACATGATTTATGCAAGTGATGAACTGCTGTGTATTAGTGTTGGGATATCTATCCAGCTATCTGAACTTAATTCCGAGAGGTTTCATGATGAGCTAGAGGTGTTCACAAATCATTTCACACACTGACAGTGTCTACTCTGTCTACACATTGCACTAACAGCAATATGTTAATTTTTGAAAGAAAGCAGATTACTTGTCAAAACAAAATGACATTTTTTTTTAGCATTTCATTTTGTTGATTTGAAGTGTACTTTTTATTTATTAAAGGGGTCATATGATGCGATTTCAAGTTTTCTGTTCTCTTTGGAGTGTTACAAGCTGTTTGTGAATAGATAAGATCCCTAAAGTTGCAAAGACTAAAGTCTCAAATCCAAAGAGATATTCTTAATAAAATTTAAGACTCGTCCACGCCCTCCTAAAACGCCCCGTTTAAACACACCCTCACATGTCTACATCACTGTGTTGGAAGATTTGCATAACACCGCCCAAATGTTCACGCAAAGAAAGAAGGCGTATCTTTTATTCTCGCTGTAGCATTGTTGCCACCACCGCCATGACGTGGAGACCCAGTGTGTTTCGTTGTGAAAGTGAAACTACTTTGTTTGGCCTTCCAAAAGAGGACACAACTAGAAATCAGTGGTTAAAGTCCCCATGAAATCAAAATTAAAGTTTTTTGAGTGTTAGTATCAATATGTTAGTCTTAAGGTTATCTATAAGGCAGTGTGCTCCAAAGCAGTGACAAAATTCGCATTTAGAAGATATAAGCATTCAAAGCTTGCAGTTCGTCACTTCCGCCAAAACGGCTCAACGATTTTTTTGACGTCACATCGTACTTCAGCTTCTCATCAAACTTTCTGTCCAATCAAATGCTCTCTAGAATCCGAAGCACCCACCCCCTACACTATAAAATAGACGCTGAAGCCGTGGCTGAAATCGGTCACTTGTCCACAGAATTAGTATTTTCTGTACAGTGAATGGCACATAGTGCACTATATAGGGGACAGGGAACGATTCAAACAGTGTAAATATGCTTTCCATTGAGGAAAAGTCACGCTAGCCACCGCACCGCACACACACTCTGCTCCGGTCCAGAGACAGGATAGCATGGAGCGGATCACATGCGCGAGTCGGCGCAGATCACAACATGTATCGGAGCTATTTGAATTCTACACAGAATGCTATATTTTATAGCAATATGGATGAGATTGTGGCTGGCATACCCTGTCAAATGTGGCTTTACGGAGCTCAACGGCTCTAGCCCAAGTTGTGAGTAACGCAGAGTAACGATGCGTGTTTCTAAGCATTTTAGGGGACCTTTAAGTTGTATTTACAATACTGTTCCAGAACAGTTCAAACCAAATATTCAGATGTGTGCAACGCATTTTACGGAGGACGAGGACTGTTTCCTGGGAGAGTAGCCTACAATGCCGGTGTTCTGACAAATAATGCTGACTCGCAGCCTGTAAGTACGTTTTCATATTTAAAGGATTTGCCACTGATGATTCAAACGTGAGTTTTGAGCAGTGTAGAGTAGCGCTTGTTGTTTGTTGTTCCTTCAATCACAAATGCAAACATGGTTTTATGTTTACGCGGCGCGATGCAACGCAACACGTAAAAAGACAGTATAAGTCATTATAATCAGTAATCATGTCCCCACTGGATGCAACAAATGCCTCGTTTATAATAGGTTTTATTTGTCTTGTCACTCCGGGACCAGCATCACAGTATGGTAAGGGGCATAACATTTCCGTCACACGCTTGAGGAATTCGGCCAATCACAACGCACTTGATAGCTAGTCAATCAGAGCACACCTCGCTTTTCAGACCGATGAGCTTTGTAAAAATCAACGCGTTTCAGAAAGGCGGGGCATAGAGGAGAAACAATAATGTACAGTATGTGGAAAATAATGTGTTTTTTTAACCTTAAACCGCATAAACACATTTAATTACACCAAATACACAAAATAATGTACTTTTTTAGCAACATCATAAATTTAGCCAAACTCTGTGTACAGTAAATACAATTTTTTTCCAACTTGAGATTCCATCTATGTGTTCCGCATTGCAGAAATCATAGGTTCCTAACTCTAATGTAACACATTTAGTTTTCAATTATGACTATTCAAAATAGAATTTCTTGGTAGTTCTTTGGGTTGGACTTGTTCATTGTAAAGTAAAGGGCAAGACACACATCTGCAAAGTGATTCGCTTTACTGAATAATCAATTTAATAAATAATTTGAAACGGCCTCCTGTCTGAGCGATATAACACTTTGTCAGCAGAACACAGCTCACATGCTCAATTTATTCATAATAAAATTCATTTACTGATTCATTACAAACACATCTGCAGCTTGATGAGGGAGGGGGCTGTCTGCTCCATTAAACCAAATAGAAAGAAATCAACATCCCATCACAAGGGATGTCACAGACGAAGCAAAATGTTGGCGAACTTGTGGAATGGATGCAATCAAACAATCTTGTTTAAAGAACAAGACCATAGAAAATAGCAGGCAGGGCTCACTGAACAGCACAAAGTGGATCAGTTTAACAGTGTGATCAAAGTATGATCTATTTTGATTCATTGAAACCACATCAACGTTAGCCAATCTGAAATAAAATACATTTCTGAAGCAAGATATACCACAGAAATATGATGCATTGTAACACTACAACCAAGGATTGTTAAAATTGGCGAATGCTGTTTTCTTTCCCATGTTGTATGCATTTCCTGAAACAGTGTTAATTGATAAATGAAGTTGAAATTGGACATATTGATGGGCTCATCCCTTTTTTTTTTTTACCACAAATAAATAAACAAATAATAAGAATTTATATTACAAGTAAACATTATATAATAAATATTAAATATTACAAGTAAAATTCAATTGGGAAAAAATAAACTTTGGAGATGGGCTCATTTTGTTTGTGAGAGTCTATAAGATCACATACATTTTTACAGCATAAATTGTGCTCAGATTGCATACTTTCTTGGAGAAAGATGAGGGAGGATAAATCTTTCAGGTGAAATCAGATCAATCCATATTTCTTAGATTTAACACTTTCTGTGGATAAAGTGCCATTGGATGTATTTCACGGCACACAATTTACTCTACTGTGGCAGATTGGACTCATCTCACAATAAAAAGGTTTTAAGTCTTGAATGTTTTCATTTGTACTATACTGCAAAACAGAGACTGAACTTTTTTGCTAAACCCTTAGATCTTTGAAAAGATGTATAATTTGTCAACTTTAATTTCCTTCACCTATTTTTCACCTTCTCACAAGGTATACCTTTGTACCTCTTTTACCCATAAAGGATGCATTTAAGTACCTTAAAGGTACATATTAGTACTCAAAATGTACATATTAGTACCTAAACGGTAAATATAGACTAAATGGTACACCCCAGTAACAGCTTTTGTACCTTTTTTTCTGAAAGTGTAGTCTTCTGTATATAGTAAATGTAAACAAAGTGTGGGTATCGTGTATTAAGAGGTTAAAAATAGCCTAGCTGGCAGCCAAATCTTCACTGATTATCGAACCACAAATTACAAGTTTCATGAATCATCCAGCTTTGTTGGTGTGACTGACCTTGGTAGTGATGCCAAGAGATGCTCCGTTGTCCAGCAGGATGGATGCCACATCTTTGTGGCCTTCGCGAGCGGCCAGGTGGAGCGGCGTGTATCCGGATGTGGTGGTGGCATCGGGTGAAGCCCCGTGTTGCAGCAACTGCTGGACTATGTCCGGTTTGCCCAGACGACTGGATATATGCAGTGGGGTATGATCATCCTACACACACACACACACACACACACCCACCCATGTAAGACTTTTTTTGCTTTGTAGAGGTTGTAAAATGCTGGAACTCTTTAATATTTCCTTGCAAGACTGCAGAAATCAATTAAATGAGGCAACGCTAAAGAGGATTGTGGCACTTTTGACAGTCATGTAACCGCAAACAAGCAAATGTTTCCTATTAGTATAGATTGACTGCATTGCATTCCACAGCTATTACACTCCACTTTGAACAATACAGTAAGTGTGTGTGGCTCTAACATAATGCATCACTTTAAAAGTCTTTCATATACATACTTATTTCACAGATGGTACTTGACTATTGCACTCTTCCATATAATGTGGTTAATGTTTGACCAGAATTTTTAAAACAGATTTTTACATTTTCTGCTAAAGTGATTTGTGTGTGTTTTTAGTGTGTTGCTATACGGATGCTAATTTGTTCTGACTGGGTGGTTGCCGGGGCAATGCTCTATGGTTGTTAGGCCGGGCGTACACTATGCACTCTGGAGGTCCTGAGCCATTGCACGTTACGAGTCAGTTAACCTGATAATTGTGTCAAAGCAGTTGGTACACGGCACTACTGGACTGCACCGCGAGCCGGCGGCAAAAGCCTGAGCTTTCGCGCTGAACACGGAGATATGGAGCTTTTCAATGTTCATGCTATATAGTGTTGGATAGGGAAAAAAAATTAAAATAAAAAGATGTGTGTGCAAATGATGTGGTGAATTGCAGAGACAGGTCCTGTTCTATGGGGGTATTCAAATGAAAGCAAGAGCACCCTCAGTTGAAGTTATAATAATAATAATAATAATAATAATACAGATTTGGCAAACAATCCAGGAGAGTCCTGGAGAGTTTCTGGAGAGTCAAAAGTTTCTCTTTACAAAGTCTTTTTGTAGCGGTGAGCAATGTAGCCAATCAAACATATCTGTTGATTTCTTGAATGCAATGGCCAATCAGAAGTGTTTATGTTATAATCCACTCAACGCTCGCAAAGCTGAAGTTTTGTCCACTGCTGAATTCTGCACGCTCGCGAATCACCTCATTATTTCAAAGTGTAGATCTAATGTAAAAAGAGAGATTCATTGACAGAACTTTCTGAGATCGTGATGAAGTAAGATGAGTGAGTGATTATTAAAGGAACGCTCTTTGCTCGATAGCAATGATTGGCACAAAATATATGTGAAAATAGATGTGCACCCTCACTCTTTTCAGAAGCACCTTCAGTGGAGCACATTCAGCAGAAAACAGCATAGCCATTCCTTTCAACAAAAACAACTAGAGAGATTTGTGTGTGTGTGTGACGGTGTATCCGCACGATATGGGGTCGCCTAGTAGCCACTGAGCTATAATAATATACATAGATCTATCGTATGTGATGTGGTTGTAATATGGAAGAGCCTATACACTGGTCAAAATCGGGCTGACTCCCGAATTTTTTAAGCATGTTTAAAAATCATTGGGAGCTCAGGAGGTGCTCGGCTCCGCTCGGCTCATAAATTCCTCTCACACGATGCGAGGCACGACCATATGAGCATCAACGACTTCCACGCGATTTTATCCATCTAGGAAAATATGAGCTCGTACGATAGCAAAAATCGCACCGTCACACCCATTTCAGGAATTGGAGTCTCTACTATTTAGCTGATGATCTGAATCGTGTGTTTGTTTAAAGAGAGACATGGAAAACATACAGTGTTGGGGGGCTGCAGGAATGTGGTTGGGAACCCCTGTTCTAGCGGGTAGTTTGCTAAAATGGTGCTGAACATGTTGATACAACGCTTCTAGTGTGTTTTCTGGTCGCTAGAGTGTTACTAGGTGGCTGCAAAGGTGTTTTGATTGGTTTTAGCACGTTGCTATGCAGTTTTCCTATGATGTGCCAGGTGGTTCCTAAAATATTCTGAGTAATGTTGTGTGTGTTGCTACAATGCTGCTAGTGTTCTGAGTGGTTGCTAAAGTGTTGTGTGTAGTTTTAATTGTATTGCTATATGGTTGCTAAGGTGTTCTGATTGGGTGGTTGCCAGGGCAATGCTCTACAATTGTTAAGGTGTTCTGAGTGTTTTTAGCATGTAGCATGTTGGGTGATCTAGTGGACTGCTAAAATGGAGCTGAGCATGTTGCTACATAGTTGCTAGTTTGTTATTAATGGTTGCTAGAGTGTTACTAGGTGGCTGAAAAGGTGTTTTGAGGGGTTTTAGCACGTTGTTATGCGGTTTTTCTAGGGTGTGCTAGGTGATTGCTAAGATACTCTGAGTGATGTTGTGCATGTTGCTACATGTTGCTATTGTTCTAGATGGTTGTTACCACTTTGTTTGAAGATTGCTTTTGTGTGGTTTTTAGTGTGTTGCTATACGGTTGCTTCTGATTGGGCGGTTGCCAGGGCAATTCTCTATGAATGTTAAGGTGTTCTGAGTGGTTTTTAGCATGTTGCTATGTGAATGTTAGGGTGTTCTGAGTAGTTGCTTTGTGACTCAAATTAAAAGAGCCCACGATTATATCTCTCTTCAGGCCCTCATTCAGTACAAGTGGGATTTGTTTAATCTGTTTATCATCTGCCAGACAAAAATTATATATCTACGAAATACAACAACACACCTCTCCTCAACAAGTTGCACGACTGGAGCAAACTACATGCCGAACTTTAACATTTAGGGGTTAGGGGTTTATCCAAATCACTAATAAATCAGCACATACTTAGACTCATATCTCTCGCTCACCTTGGCTTTGGCGTCCACATCTGCTCCATTCGCCACCAGGAATTTCACCACGTTTGCCTGTCCTGCCCTGGCAGCCATATGGAGTGCCGTCTCTCCTCTCTAAAACACACACAAAGGAAGCTTCTGGAAAAAAGGTACTACTGTGTTTGGACAGTAAGTCTTTGTGTGTGCACAGCTCTTTCATCAGACTCTGCCCCTCTGCCCAAACCGTTTTGCTTTGTTTTGACTGCCTCGATGAGCTGCACCCCAACAAAGCCTAAAGCATGTTTCTACGGTAACAGTGGCTCGCTGTTGGCCCACTGTCTGTCTGATGGGGAACAGTCGAGCATGATTACAGTCTGACTGTACTCTAATTACAGTAGATTGAGGAGCTCCAACCTGCAGTCAGATGTATGTTTGAAAGTACATGGACGGAGACTGTTATTACCCTAGAAGGCTTTATGAAACGGGAGACCAAACCAATGTGGCAAGCAATGACACATTCCAGAGAGGAACACGGCTGGCCTCTGGGGCGTCGCTCAAATATTTTTTTGTTTTACTTTGTTTTTTTTTCATTATTCAAAGGAAACTTGTAAAATGGTTTGTTTGGTGCTGGTGGGGTTGGGGATGGCTGTACTCACCACATTCATCGTGTTAGGAGATGCTCCGTGATTTGTCAACTGAGTCACAATGTTTTCATGGCCCATAAAAGCGGCCACATGAATCGGCGTGAGTCCAGACTGCCAGAGACACAGAAATATGCAGCTTTGAAGCACTGGGAACTGGTCACTAAAGCAAATATTACCTCATTTCAAAACGCACGTTTCTTTTTTTTTATAAACAACGGCATATTTGATTGAAATGCTTTACATCTCACTCGATTGTCAAATGCTTGATTTCTATGTATGGAAACCCATTTCTGCTTCGGATTAAAGTTTAAAATAAGAAATAAGTCACAATGTGAAATGTAAAGTTGCAAATGCTGAGAAATACAGTTGCAATTGTGAAATACGGTATTTTGCAAGTACAAGAAATAATAACAATTACTAGAAACAAAGTTACCACTGCAAGAATTAAAGACACATTGCCAGATATGAGATCTGAAATTACACTGTGAGAAATAAAGTCAAATTGTACATTTTAAAGCTGCAATTATAGGAAATCAAGTCACTATTTTGATATATAAAGTCACGTTGCAAATTATAAAGTGACACTTTGTTATTTTTATAGTTGCATTGTCTTACAAATGTGCAATTATGAGAAATAAAGTTGCAATTGCATAATATAAAGTCGCAATTGGAACATATAAGTCACAAATAAAGTCAAAATTCTGAACTATAAAGTTGCAAAAACATTTTCTGAGGTGTAAACAGGCTTTGTAATCTCATTTAACAGCACACTATTTCCATCTGAGGCATAGGAACAATCAGAAATGTAGTAGGACCATTTTATAAACTTTATCAACTTGGGTCATGAATATTAATTAGGTGACATAATATTCATATAAAATTGGCTCATGAATATTAATTAGGTGACATAACATTCATATTTTGCTGATTTGTTCTGAACATCCAGTCGGCTGGTCTTAAAGGCATTGTTCTTCACACCTTAAGCAAGTAAAATAAAACTTTATAATAAATAAATATGTCCCAAAAAGTTGGGTGGGACAAAAGTCTCTCCAATTATAATGGTTGCTACGACCCTGGTTTCCACAGACAACCAACATTTCTTACGAAGGCATAAACAATATTTCTTACATTAGGAGTTATTAAGCTGTTGATTAAAAGAGACCACAGTGTACAGCAAAGCAAGCTCTGCAAATAGAAAAAAACCTCTCTCTCACCTCAGTCACAGCCTGAATGGACGCTCCGTGTTTCAGCAGCAGCTCCATCACTTTAATCCGGTTCTTCTTGCAAGCGATATGAAGTGGTGTAAAACCATTCTACAGAGATAAAAAAGAGATTCTGGTGGCTTTTACTCCAGCTTACTAATGAAAATCGGGTTGCTTTTTCCCCATAACCACATGACTGAAGAGTTAACAAAGCTTTGTTTCCAGACGAATGAAAACACGTGGCTCCTGCTGCTCTATGCTTGGCAGACTTGTCTTTCTAAAGTTTTCTTTCTTCCTTCCTTTTTTCCTCATAAAGTGCAGAGACACGCCCGTTCTGTAACCATTACTTCAGAGCATGACAGTACTCACTGCGCTCTTTGCCAAAAGAGGCTTTTTACAGATTGCCATTGCGCTGTGCAGAAACAAAACATGTTACATGTTCATGATCTTCCCTCCAAGTTCTCACATATAAAATTTGGAGGGTACCATCTAAGGTGGAAGCCAAAGGGGGAAAAAAAGGAATATGGGATTTTACGAGACTAGTTAGCTCTGTTTATCTGATGCATATTGCACACAAAGCTGGAAAGCACTTTTTTTTTTTTAAATCTGACTGGCTGATTGTATACTGTAAAAAAAAATGTATTTTCAAAGTTGTAAATATATATATATATATATATATATATATATATATATATTGTATTTTTTGAGTCAAAAATTATAATACCAAAAATACCAAAATACCATAAAAGTAGGATTATTGGAGTATGTTTTACAAGAAAATACTATTTCAGGTCTCCTACTTCAAAATCTCATTTTTAATTAATTGTATTATTTGCTGTTGCTTGTTTGTGAGATTTGTGCAATTTCTGAGTAAAAATTGTTTCTACATCAATTATTTTTTTACTGTATTAACCCCCACCCACCACCACCACACTGGTCAATTATTATGGAATAAGGCATTTTAGATAAACTAACCCCTAAACAGCACATAAAAACAAATAAAATGTTGGTTGCTTTACATTTCAAGGGATAGTTCACCCAAAAATGAAAATTCTGTCAATTTTTTCCAACCCTGTACGTGTTTCCTCCTTCTGCTGAACACAAAAGAAGATATACTGAAGAATGTTGGTAGCCAAACAGTTCACGGTAGCCACTGACTTCCATAGTATTTTTCTATACTATGGAAGTCAATGGCTACCGTCAACTGTTCGGTTACCATCATTCTTCAAAATAACTTATTTTGTGCTCAACAGCTCAAAGAAACTCATACAGGTTTTTAACAAATTGTAAATGGCAGGATTTTCTTTTTTGGGTGAACTATACCTTAAAGTAGACGGTTCTTGGCCAAAATAAGCTGTAAAGTGTACCAGACCTTATTCCTATAGTCAAAATGAAACTTTGAAACATTCCACTTGTTAATGCAAGACTCACCAGTGCTTTGGCATTAGGATTGGCCTTCTTGTCCACAAGGACCTTGGCAACTTTGTAGTGTCCGCAGTGTGCAGCGACATGCAGGGCTGTCAGGTAATCATTGGTGACGTCATCCACGGGCACTTCATGATGAAGCAAGAGCTGAACGCTGTGCAGATGATCTCCTTGCGTGGCCATGTGCAATGGTGAAAGGCCATTCTGTTGAATCACACAACAATTTATGTTATGCCGAAATAAAATAACTGAAGAACTTTCACTTATCGATTCTCTATTTTTCACTTGGCATCTCATAGGAATCACAGATGGATCAAATCTAAAACAGTGTTCAATCTTTCTAAGAATTCAGAGAAGCAAAAGTAAACTTTGAAAATCTAATAGAGCCATAATCCCCCCTCAAAAAGGACATTTGGGGTAAAAGAACAGCGAGAGAATATACGTCACTATTTGTGCTAAAACAATTGCTCCATTGTGACACTAATCGGCTGGGATATTATCTAATTTGGCGAGAAGTCTGTGACCATGTTTTGCTTTGCTTTCAGATTCCAGGAAAGTGTTCAGTGATGCAATGGAAAAATAGAAGAAAAAATGATATTGTCACATCTGCATACACTTAAAGGAACGGTTCATTCAAAAAATTATATCATTCACTCACCATCATGTCATTCCAAACCCAAAAAAACCTTACTAGAACACAAAAACGTTTAATAGGGGTTTAAAAGACAATTTGTATTCAGTAATATTTGCATTTACGCATTTAGCAGACACTTTGATCCAAAGCGACTTACAAAAGAGTAACAAAAGCTGAACTGGATTGAGTTGAACTAGGCTACGTTTACATGACAACGATGTAGTCAAAAACGGAAAAGTTTTTCCCTTGCATTTTTAAAAAGTTTCACGTATACACGACAACGTTTTCAAAACGATTCTCATTTACACATATCCGCGAAAACGGGCAAAAACGTTGTACTACGTATGCCAGGCCAGTAGTTGGCGCTGTCACCTTGTTAGTAAACAGTACCTGTAGGGAAGTGACGATTATATGTTGTATATCATGCGTCTCCGCTGTTGGTTGTAATATTGGTGAAGTAAATCCACACTTTGCTGAAGAAGCGTTAGCAAACTCTTGAGCAGCAACAACAGTACCATGTACTCCGCCATTGTTGTGTATGTTTGTTCACGCTCACCTTTAAAATCACCACGTACTGCGCATTTCTACATGCCTAACACGTACTACGCATGATGTCACCGTTTTCAAAGATTCCCGTTTTGGGTGTTTACACGGAAACGACAACGGTGGCGTTTTCAAAAAACTTGCACTTTGAAACCCGTTTTCATTTCCCGTTTTTGGCTGAAAACGTTGTCGTGTAAACGGCCCATTAAATGAACTGAATAATGACACTATTGTCTTCTGTAGAGCTGTTTTACAGCAAATAAATAATAACATAAATAAATATATTGTTTCATAATTTATGGATTTTGCAACATTAACACTGCTGTTTTCTTGTTTATTCTTATAAAGCTGCTTTAAAACAAACTGTATTGTGTAAAGTCCTATATAAATAAATCGAACAAGACAAAAGGAGATGCTTAGCTAAATGTCCAGGCTGCACTTTTCCATATAACAAAAGTGAACAGACACAATCATTTCATTTTGCATTCAGCATTTCATTCTGTTTGGCCCACAAAGTTCCCGTTCCCGTTCCTTTTCAATATATCGAAAAGAGCAGCATGAACATTCTTCAAGTAAGTTTGGAAAGACATGAGGGTGAGTAAATGACGACAGAATATGCATTTTTAAGTGCAGAACAGCATATCTAACCTTTGTCTTAGAGAGGATGGGTGCTCCACGATCTAGTAACATCTCAACTACTTGCTCATGACCGCTCCTCGCTCCACAGTGTAAAGGTGTCAGGCCGTCCTGGAGGTTTGAAAACAAACACACATATTATACACTGCCCCACCGGCAGGTGCCAGAATCTACAAACATCAGCCATCATTAACATCACAATCCCTCCCAGTATTACCGACATGTGTCAATATGTCAAACACACAATGAAAGGTAGCGTTCCACTACTGGAGACAGAGAAGAGCGCAACATCTGCATGCAATTGCTCTTCAACGGTGGTGCCAAACTCATTTAACCCGAGGGCTGCAGTTGTTATCATTTATCAGAATCAAACGGCATGTATCCCTGAATTATCCCTTACAAATAAATTCCCTGTTCATCTTGAAAAGCATCTTGTGCTTCTAAGAAAGCAGCTGAAACTGGCCACAAATTAACAGCAACTGAATTCGTTTCCTCTGAAACTTGACATGTATTTTATTTTTTTTTTAATTACAGCTTTTTTTCTTTCCAAGTCTTTCTAAACTATACAATACACACATGCCATTGTGCAATAAATGTGCTCACTTCCTCTGATGACTTAAACATAGAGCTGGAAAAGAAAGACTTCTTGCGGCACCGACCTTGGTTTTGGCGTCAATTCGAGCTGCTCTCTCCAGCAGCAGCCTGACCATGTTGGCATTTCCTCTTTTCGATGCCACATGAAGAGGCGTGATATCATTCTGCCACAATAAAAAGATTGTCAGACACAATCAAGTTCAAAAGAACAAGGTTGATTACATGTAAACACATACTATATTGGTGCTGTGTGACTGTATAATAACAACTGGCATTTTCTATGTATATCTGATGAACTAATAATACATTTTCTATAGATATTCACAAAAACTATTTTTAAAGGAAGAATTTCTATTCTTTGAAAAATAGCGCACTTTCCCTTTAAACATTGCTTATTTTGGTTAAATTGTTCTCTCGGTAATATTTATTAGTCAGAAAACAGAATTCTTCAGTTACAATGTTTGTGATTTGAGGTATAAAGTGTTTGCAATTGTCCTTTTATATGTCCTTAATATGGTCCTGATTATTTGGCTAATACAAATGTCAAAAAGAACAATGGCTAAATAATATAATTTAATAGCAATAGCAAATACTATTTTTATTGGCGGTGGGACATGCTTTTACATCAACGAAAGGTGGTGTACAGATGTTACAGCGTTAAAGAAGATGTGCTGTTCCGATCTAGAAGCGCTTTTCATTAACTATACTTGGCAATAAAGCTCTTTCTGATTCTGATTCTGATTCTGATACGATGTTAAAAACTTAATTTTCACTTTAAATGTTTCTTATTCATTGACAAGGAGGTCAACAATCACAAGGAGTATAAAACACTTTTATTTCTGTATCAATGTTGAGTGTACATGTAACCAAAATGAGAATATATCAAAATATATACTAAAATATAAATCTACTGTATATACTAAAAACTGTATTTGTGTTGTGAGCTTTTTTTTTTTTACAAACTGAGGGACAAGTCTGTAGTAAGCAACAGCATGCATTAATGTTTCAACAGAGATTGTTTTATTTTACTATTTATACTTTATACTTTACTAAGCAAACTGATGGTGTCAATTTATTGGAGGTTATTAATTATACCCATCCTCTAAAATCATACATACATTAATACAGCATTCAATAATTTATTGTGTCTTAATTCGTCTACGTCTGTATTAATATGTTGCTGGTGGCATATACGCATGATATTAAGTCTTTAGTGAACAAAATATGTTCCATCTTAGAGATTTTTAATAATGTTTCACAAATGAGAGATTCTGTCCAGAGCTGCAGTGGCACAGATTAAGTGCACATCGTCACACTGTAGACAGAAGTATTGGTATACACCACCCTCTAGTGATAGTTTACAAAATCCCTAATTCCTCCACTGCTAGGTTTTCCATTTTCCACTCCCTGCTTGCTTGAGAGAAAACCCACTCTGAGCGATCGTGGAGTGAGAGAAAATTGTATTTATTAATTTTAAAGAAACACTGGCATACGGTGATCTGCAACACTTGCACACTGATAAGCATGATACAAACAGTGCTGTGTCCCAGTGACGTTGTTCAACAAAACAAATTATAGGATTGGAAACAACTGCCGTATGACAGCTAATAAATGTCAGAACTCAGCTGCTTAAATTGAGCCAGTGTTGCTCTCAGAACAACAAATGTATCATTCTCCTGAAGCGAAGATAAAACACCTGATCCAGACAACCTTTTTGGCACTGCATGCACAGATTGGCCCTGAACTGGTTTAGACTATGTTGACCAGTGTTTCTCTGCCGCTCTTTGACCCTCACCCTAATGCCGAGTTCACACTGCACGATTTTCAAAGACGTCGCATCACTGTTGGTTTGTTTTTCAGTCAGAACTCATGTGAGTGTGATTGTGAATTGGCGACAGCTCCAGATATTTAGCATGCTAAATATTTCATGGGCGTCGGCGACTTGTCGGCGATTCTCTCAGATCGCGTCTTTGATAATTCACACTGCATGATTGTCACTCGCGTGAACGAGCACCGATTTGCCTCCGATTTCAGGCATTTAACGGCGATTTCGCAAAACCTGTCGGCAAGTGAAAAAACGGGCTAAAATCGTGCAGTGTGAACTCAGCATAAGTGAAATGTGATCCCATAGATCTGACATCCCAAACTCTGACTCCATGTTTTGGAATATACTACGCCCATAAGTGTCAAAGTGTTCACTACTGTGCATTCAAAAATTCTGTCCCACACAGTGTTAGCATAACATAAGTGACATAACATTGTTCTGCATCTCATGATGCCTCACATCAGATGGGGTCCACCATGTTTTATAAAATGCTAAGCAGTCTATTAGTAAATTAGAGAAAGCTTTCTACTCACATAAGAGGATCCAAGATAAAGAAAAGGTGAACCTTTTTAAAAGTCTAGTTTAAAATGTACACTACTGGTCAAAAGTTTGGAGTTTGGCAAGATTTTAGTTTTTTGTTATTTTTGTGTCTCTTTATGCCCACCAAGGCTGCATTTATTTGATCCAAAAATACAGTAAATTTTTTTTTACAATTTCATTGTATTTAATTTATTTAAAATATTTTAAAATGTAATTTATTCCTGTGATGCAAAGCTGAATTTTCAGCATCATTACTCCAGTCTTCAGTGTCACGTGATCCTTCAGAAATCTTTATAATATGCCGATTTACTGCTCAATAAATATTTTTTTATTATTACCAATGTTGAAAATAGCTGTGCTGCTTAATATTTTTGTAGAAACCATGATACATTATTTTCAATATTATTTGATGAATAGAAAATTCAAATATATATATATATATATATATATATATATGAATTTGAAAAAATAACCTTACTGACCCTAAACTTTTAAATGGCAGTGTAATTGTTTAAGTATTTTAATTAATGACTGTAAAACTGTCATGTGGAGTAACCATTAAGTAAAAAAGTAATAGCATGTTTAGTTTTTACAAATATCACAAGCACATAAATATCATTAAGCACATTACATTTCACTGAACTAATTTTGTCTTGTCATACAAAGATCAAATTATCTGATATTTTAAAAGACTGACTGACACAGTAATGAGCATCTGCAGTGTTTCTCTATATGATTTGTGTGTTTTTTTCTAGTATGTTGGTGGTACTTGACTATCTATATTTAAAATATTTGAACAAAACTGCTGTCCTGCTTATTTTTTCTAAGACAATATATTATTATTCAAAACTACTTACGGTTCTTTTTTTTTTAATGAGACACATTTTGAATTACCTTGACATTTTGGTCACAAAAATATAAACATGAATCACTTGTATTCAAGTCACTGCAAGTGTGAATTGCATTATAATTTATATTTTAATTAATAGATCTTAAAAAAAAAAAGGAATATAATTGAACCTATCACGGTTTAGGAAAATTAACCGTTCAAGAAAAAGAGGATTTATTTAAACAGAGATTTAATATTGCACATTACGTCATTTAATTGTGACAAAATTTCATTAAATAACATGTAAATATACTACTAAACACCACCCTTTATGGTGCCATTTCAATCCATGCTTTAAATATGACATGACATGGAGACAAAAAAAAGGCACTGCATATAGAGACTGACCCTGCTCTGACCCCAGTGTAGTTTATGAACTGTTCATATCAATGCACTCCTCTCTTACAGAATTCTACAGCTGGAGTTCATGTCCTTACCCTCGCCTTGAAATCTACAGCAGCCCCGCGGTTCAGGAGCAGGGTTGCTACGTTGATGTTACCGTAGTGAGCCGCTATGTGGAGAGGGGTGAAGCCACTCTGGTGAGGGACAGAGAGAAATAGAGCACAGGGGTCAAAATGTCACATACAGAACTCTGAAAGCCCTGACCCCAAGTCACCTGACCTGACCTCATCCTCTACGTATGAAAAGATGACACCAGGCCAGGCGTGGTGCAGTAAATCAGTAAAACAGATCTACACAGATGAGCTTAGCACAACACTGAGGAAAGACACATCTTTCACTTGATCCCTCGCACCATGTAAACTCAATCTAGCTGATTAATTAGTTTGATTTGGTCTAAATATTAAACTTACTTCAATCTCTCCAGTTACACACCATGCTGGGGTTGCAAAAGATGGTAGGGTGTTTCCATTTTAAAGGATGTGTTTTCCTCAAATGTACAAAGCCTTTATAACAGCAGCCTTCAGGCCAAATTTGAATTAACACACATACAAAGCTTAAGTGGAGGTGAACCCATGATGTTATGTGTGCAAACATGCATACAGTGCACTGCATTTAACAATGTGCTGTTAAAACATAAAAAATCGGTTTCAGCTTCTTTGTCTAACTATAATAACAAATACAATTTCAATTATTTGACAGCAAATTGCAGCACATTATTGAGTTATGTCTCGTGAACAGCCGTTGTAAATTTGAGAGAGCAGTTGAGCTGGAGCTGTAGATGTAGATGAATATCATACTATCATTCTCAGTTTTGTAAGTAGTTAATACTGTTTTTAAGTTACATATCATGCAGTGCAAATCAGAACTGTTAAGTTGCAGGACAGCTGGAAGAAATCCGGAAGCCATGCTGACTGAGACGAGACGAGACGAGACGAGACGAGACGAGACGAGAAGAGACGAGAAGAGAAGAGAAGAGAAGAGAAGAGAAGAGAAGAGAAGAGAAGAGAAGAGAAGGTCAGTAGCTGTTTCTGCTGACATCTGCTAGGAGGGGATTGTCATGCATGAGACGGGACGAATGCTCTGCAGGAGTCTGATCCTACACTACCTTCACCTGCAGGACAGCAGACATCTGGGCTTTGGTCTAAAGGGCATTTAGATTTAAAGTTTAAAGCAGTTGAAGTATAACACTGTGTCTACACCGGACACGACAGTTGTTGCGTGGCACCACACCACACCACAACAGCTTGAGGCTGACTACACTGGACGTGACAAAGCAACCGTTGCAAACTATTTGTAGTTCGTCATAAATAGAACAAGGCAGCAGTTTACTTTCGTAAAAAAATGTGTTGTGTCGCATCGCACCATGCCGCATCCAATGTAGACTACATCACTGTTTAGAATGGGATCAATTGTCTTTTGTCACATCGCGCCGCTCGTATCCAGTGTAGATATATATATATATATATAGAGCCCTGACTTAAACCCAATTGAGCATCTCTGGAGAGACCTAAAAATGGCTGTCCACCAACGTTTACCATCCAACCTGACAGAACTGGAGAGGATCTGCGAGGAGGAATGGCAGAGGATCCCCAAATCCAGGTGTGAAAAACTTGTTGCATCTTTCCCAAAAAGACTCATGGCTGTATTAGATCAAAAGGGTGCTTCTACTAAATACTGAGCAAAGGGTCTGAATACTTAGGACCATGTGATATTTCAGTTTTTCTTTTTTAATAAATCTGCAAAAATGTCAACGATTCTGTGTTTTTCTGTCAATATGGGGTGCTTTGTGTACATTAATGAGGAAAAAAAATTAACTTAAATGATTTTAGCAAATGGCTGCAATATAACAAAGAGTGAAAAATTGAAGGGGGTCTGAATACTTTCCGTACCCACTGTATATATTAGGGGTGTAACGGTTCACAAAATTCACGGTTCGGTTCGATACGACACAGTGGTGTCACCGTTCGGTTCGGTACGGGGGTAATTGGTTACGTCGCAATGTTGTAAATATTTCTGTTTTAAACTATGAAGGCGAGCCAATGGATATCACACACAAGCAACATGCAAACTTTGCGCAAGAGTTACACCGGTGAACGTCTTAATCTCAATTCAATTCACTATATGCAGAAAGTGAAAGTAAAAACAGAATGACGGAGCTTTCGCCATCTGACGCCTCATATTCTCTCAGAGACGACGAGACAACTCTACTTCAACATATGCTGATAACGGTATATAGCTAACTATTTCTAATATTACATAGTAAAAAAAAATGATAAGAAACATTTCGCGTTAAACAGGTTGTTTTTGAAAGTCGGTGCTTGAAATAAAAGCTTTTTAGTTCCTTGATTTTTATTGATGACTGAAGTGTTAATATTTTAATCATAGGCCTATATTTCATTGTATAGACCTGTTTTAAAATACCTTTTTTAAAAACATTTTAATTTCTTAATATTGCCAACAATTTATGTTTTTGACAATATCTCTGGCTATCATCGATACAAGATCATAGTCTTTCGATGCAACCCAACCCAGCACGGGGAGGTTATCGCGGGGCAGACAGCACGTTGCCTGTTACGTCATCTGGGCTGCCTTGATGAGTGCAGTGGCACTGAGAACATTATATTTCACACACTTTAAGCTGTTTTATTTTCCAAATGTAATAGGATTAGTCCAACTAATCGAATCGTTCGGTTTGTAATGAGTACCGAACCGAAAGCCTCATACCGAACAGTTCAATATGAATATGTGTATCGCTACACCCCTAATATATATATATATATATATATATATTTATTTTGATCCTACAGTTTTATTAGATACTGTAAGTAATAGCATGTCTTTACTGGTCCATCGGCTAGACCAGAACCAAACCGGCATAAACTAGCTGGAACAGCACAGACTTTCCTACTGTTTACAACCTATTTATTGCTGTTGTTGGGGCAAAAACTATCGCAGTTTAATATAAAGAAATAACAAGCGGGCCACTGGTAGGTTAACCTCTTGAACAGGACTATCTGTGCGACCAACAGCAAATGTCAGAATTTTTGAAATCATGATCTTGCAATTCCATTTGGGCCACTAGTGGCACAGAAATTACACAAACAAAAAACACGGCCACATACACTATATTACAAAAAATGCCCTGTTCTAAATAAGTAACTCTCTCAGCTGCAGACCTCGCCGGCTAAACCAGAGTGTTTCTTCTCCATGCTAGTCTTCCGCTGCCCGTTAGTAATAGAAGCGCCATTCTACTGAGACAAAAAAAGCAATGAGCTGGGGCAGGAGGGGAAGGGGAAGGGGCGGCAGCCACAGCAGCAGTGTGATGTGGGCGCTTTGTGAGGTGTGTAGAATTTGTACATGTATACCTCTGTTGTTCTATTCACCATCATCTAGAAGGACCACCAGAACAGGAGGAGAAAGAATGGTCTAATTAATGTTCACAAAGTCACAATGGGAGCATCAAGCTGTACGGTGGCTACATTGTGAGGGAGAGCGACAAACCACACATCACACGACACCACAAGGGCTTAACTGGATGGTGCATCTACTAGTTGCCTATGGTTTAACTGTTTGGTAGTTGCTTTAAACTGGCTTGTGATTGAAGATGACACAATTGAGTTTTAGGTAAATTTACAATGAGCATCTCCCATCATGCACCATTGATTTACAGCCACCACAAAGTCTGCTTAGATGGATATTGTTTTACATTGTGTTAATTCCAAAACACAGTAATCATTTAATATGTTTGAATGGAAAGCACCATCAAGTTCTAGTTGTAAACTAATGGAAAGATTTGACTGTATATCGATGGAGGTACCTTGGATTCGACATCTGCATTGTGGTCGTTCTGCAGGAGCAGCGCCGCTGCTTTAGTATCGTCCTTACGAGCGGCGATGTGCAGGGCAGGCAGCCGTACCTTCCCTTTGGTGTCGTTCTCCAGGAGCAAAGACACCACCTGATCATGACCCTGCTGAAGAGCTACAGCCAGAGGAGTAAAACCATCCTACAAACACACAACACAAGAATCCTTGAGTAGTCCAAAGAGATGTCAATCTTAAAGGTACACTACAGAATTCTCTTGTAGAGGAAGTGTTTACATCAGTTGTGATTCAGTATGCTCTTCTACAGGGGTGGGCAACTCTGGACCTCAAGATCCACTTTCCAGCAGAGTTTTGCTCCAACCCTAATCAAGCACACGTGAACAAGCTAGTCAATGTCTTCAGGATTACTTGAAAGCCACAGGCAGGTAGGTGAGTTTGGCCAGGGTTGGAGCTAAACTCTGCAAGAAAATGGATCTGCCCAGATCTGCCCAGTTGCCCAGCCCTGCTCTTCAAAGCCAGGTGTGTCCAATCCTGCTGCTGGAGGGCAAGTGTCCTGCAGAATTTAGCTCCAATCCTTATCAACCATACCTGAACCACCTAATCAAGGTCTTCTGATTTACCAGAAACCTCCAAGCAAGTATGTTTGAGCAGGTTGGAGATTAACTCTGCAGGACACTGACTCCCCAGGAGCAAGACTGGACACCCAGTTCTGATGGTTTGAAGTATACACATAGTTTCCTGTGACCACCATATTAGAGCAGATGTGATGAGCTATTCATCAAGATCATTGATAGAAAGAAGAAAATCCTAGAGCAAGGGTGTCCAATCCTGTTTCTGGAAGACAACTCTCCTGCAGAGTTCAACGCCAACACACCTGGAAGTTTCTAGTAATCCAGAAAACCTTCATAAGTTGGTTTAGGTGTGTTTAATTAGGGCTAGAGCTAAACTCTGCAGCAATGTGGTCCTCCAGGAGCAGGAATGGACACCGTCCTACAAGATGTATATCCAAAAAATATGTCATCAGCAGTGCTGGTCCTCTCTCGAATGCAAAGTACGCAAGTTGTGTAGGGCCCCTGAACCACCAGGGTAGTTTGTAGATGTTGATTAATATTCTATACCAGCATGGCTATAAGGAAGTTTAACTTTGTTAACAGTATTACAGTTTCACATCATGTTCCTAACTACAATAACAACAGCATATTTTAAAAACTTGGTGTTGTAAGGAAGTAGTTCTACACACAAGTGTTTTAGGGATGAAAGCCTTAAAAATGTCTTAAGATGCATGAACATACACATGTATAACCATTCATATCTTGAGAAAAACACAGAATATATAAATATATGATTGTATCAGCACACGTCCAGTAAATTACAATGTTTAATAAGAGCAACACAAATCTTTGATAATTCTCTGAGAGATCAGCTTGACATCAAAATGCTGTAATGCATGTGATATTTTTATGGTTGAAGTCTGAATTTCAAACAGACCTTTATTCTCACCAACAGAGATCATTAACATGCAAACATGCTCTTCAAACACGGATGCGTTCTCTGGTGCATAATCACTGTCTGAGAGACACAAGGGCCTGGTACATTCTCAAGGACAGTGACGTCTGGCGCCCTGCTCTGTCATGCACCCACACACACTTCAAGCCAGGCATTCCAATACCCTCACTACGTAACTAGTGTCTGCCTGTTGCCTTGAAATGGACAGCAAGGTCACTAGGTAGTTCCTGTATGTATCATTGCTAGTTAGACATCAAAGTATGTTGTTTCAGAGGGCTGCTGGGAATTGCAGTGAGGTAAGTGATGGATGGATTGGAAGAGAAAGTTATGCTCACCTCTGTGGCAATGCTCTGACTGGATCCATTATCCAGGAGGAATTTGACGACATCCAGGTGGTTTTCCTGGGCAGCCATGTAGAGTGGTGTGAAGCCATTCTATAGCAGGAACAAAAATCATATTCTCTTTCAATTTATAAAGCAACAAAACAATCATATACATCCCATGCTTAACCATGACTCGAATGCAAGATTTGATCACAGCACTGACTCTGACATACGGTACAGTAGCCTTATCTGTGGGACCTTACTGCAGTGATGCTGATTTCTCTAACAAGTTTAACATCTTATTTGAAATACCTTCACACTTCAATTATGCAGTATGTCTGGTCATTAGAACAACTGGCTTCTTTTCAGTTCATGAGTGTGAAGTGAATTGGCCACACCCACAGGAAGTTGAATTGAAATGACAGGAAGAGGAAATGCAGACACACAGCAAAGAAATTAAAACACAATACACCGTTCATTTTGACTATTTGTTAATTTATAAATTCAATATTGTCAAAACAGTTAGGCTAATGCAAAATGTCCACCGCATAGTTTTCAACTTTATGAATATAAATACTGAACTCAAAATTTGAGGCATTCTGGGAAATGAAGTGTTTTATCAGCATGGTCCACAAAATAAAAGTCAATTTATAAAATGTATACATGGTAGCTTAGTTAGCTTAGCAGACAATATATCTTAACATACATTTTCACTTAGCTAAATGATACTGAATGCATAATGTTTCAATTGTTAAATGCTTCATTTGTTGGTGATATTAAATGTGTAGTTAACCATAAGTTAGCTAAGATTAGTTAGCATAGTTATTAGCAGGCCTAGACAGAATCTGCTGACATTTCTCACAATGGAAAACTCAAATTCTGTGTTAATCTGCAGAGCTTTCTGTAGAGTTATGCGAACGCCAATAAAGTCTGGGCCTGGGTTTTCACACTAACATATAGCACCATAGCTTAAATGAGTCAGCTAAAGTAACTAGCTAGCTAATATTGATAAATGTGGAGTGTACATAGGATACATATTTTTTCTACACTACGGTACAAAAAGAATATCAAACATTTAACAATTTGCAATCAGCCTCCTCATTCACGAAGTGATTGTGTCTATTTTAAGCACTGCAGTGTGAGAAAGCAGAACCAGGCTGCACTTGTGATAAGTTCTTGAGATAAAACATAGCCTGTCTCTAGTCTCCCGTACACGTGTATGTGTGTGTTTAATTTTGGACTCCCTGAGGATCATTTCGGTGACAAGGCAAAAACGCATGCACTACTATAACTATCGACCATACCAGCTCTCAAATCCCAACAGTTTCTCATCAAAATGGAGACATAAGTAGGTTATATTTAATGCAGCACTTCAAAATTCTTTTAGAGATATCTGAGGACAAACTGAGAACTTAAGTATCAGAACTTTACTCAAAATCCATACTTCAACGCAACACTGGTGCAATTTACATTCTCTGTGGTGCTACAGTGGATATTAGCATGAACTGACTTTTATGGTTGGTCTTCTCTTTCAGATCAACCACTGTCATGACAGGGCAGTAGTTTGAAAAGAATCTTGCTGAAGAAGTTAGTTGTGTGTATAGTATAACTATGTATAAATAGCTACCTGAACAACAACACATCCAGTTCAATTAGCGGTGGACAGTAAAACTAACTAAAAGTAGCTTTGTTTTTCTGTGGTGCAACAAAGTATTTTTTTCTACTGTACATGCTGCTTTTCAAAACTATGTTTTTGCTCTTTTATTGTTGAGTTTTAATGCTGTGACCATAATCCTGGTTCAATAATTCAAAACACCTCATTCTTTTTGTCATAAATTATATAATCTGAACAAGTTACCATTTTAAATGATGTCGCCCCCTTTCAAAGCTTTAATGTAGTTAGTTTAATTTTCAAACGTTTTATTTTTTGGTGATGTTAATTTTGTAGCTAACCATAAATTAGCTAAGATTAGTTAGCATAGTTATTAGCAGGCCCGGACAAAATCTGCTGTCATTTTTCAAAACTTCTACATTGATTTTGTTGGCAAATGTGCAATTTGTAGCTAACAAATGTTTTTAGTGTAGCTACAGTAAATTACTTTAAATTTTGAGTAGCTTTTAGTTTGTCAAGATACTGTACAGTTTCAAACTAGCTTCACAATTGCTAGGTTCCTCTGCAAAAAAAATTGAGACTTGTGTAGAGTGCATTTTTTGGATTAATGGTGTGTTCAAGTTCTCCTGGGATAATCATATTTACAAGTTGGAAAGTATTTACGATGGAAATTGGAAAATTGGAAATTCGTATTTACATTTGGCCGGCTGAAGATTTTTAAACTGTACTTCTACAAATGTTGAATAAAAAAGTGCATCAATGTGTTTTGCTTTTTTGTTTATATTTAATTTATGAAGGTGCTGTCAATTGAATCATTATATGGACCCTTTTCACAACTGTGATGATACGTTTCAATGGTTATCCGCATCGTAAAACCATAATTAAAAAAAAAAAAAATGTACATTTATAACACTATACTTTGTATTATAGTACCTTTGCATCAAATTACAAAAGACTAGTTAACGCTAATGCGAGGGTGTTTCTAATATAGCATCTATGGGAGTGACGGTAAATTTGACATCGTTCTCTCTACTGACTGCCGTTATCAGTCAGTATTTGTTTCCCCTTTTTTTGAAAGTCGTGAAAACACTATCATGGAGTTTTTCTTTTGCTATTTGAGCAAATGAGAATGCAAAAAATATATATTTGTGGTAGTCTCCCATTCACTGCAATAGAAGTTTACCCAACTATGACGACTTCTGCTGCTGAGAAACCCGGAAATGTGAAAAAGGTCCATATTCTATGGTAATTGTACATTACTACTGTATTTTGTACATGCTATTTAGTTTGATTCTAAATGGAAAAAAAAAATATTTCATTAATAACATAAACATATTTACTATCAATACATATGCTACATCTATTGCCATATTTTCTCACTGACATGACCACATCTCATAAAATTGGGGTTTGAAGAAAGTTTCCCACCTGTAATTATGACTTTAAGTTGGAGTTCATGTGCGTTCAACTCATAAAATGACTTGAACGCATTGTAAGAATGGAATCATGTTTTACAGTAAATTAAAAGTCACTCATCCTTTGTCAAGTGCTGATTGTACCTGAGACTGGGTGTCGATATTCGCTCCATTATTTACAAGTTCCTTGACGACATCTGCCTGTCCAGCGAGCGATGCTATATGCAGAGCAGTGTTTCCTTTCTGGAATCAGAATAACATGAGAGAACAGTCTGACTCACAGTGACCCGATGTTTTTTCATAGTCTTTTGGAATGCTTCCTCGCTATTTCAGTCACTGTTCTGGTACATAAATTACACTTTGAAGAATTCACTTTTCATCAGAGTTTTCTAAAACCATTACTGAAATCTTCCTCTTGAAGATCCTCAGCATGAATGAGTAGATCCAGCCCTTGGTAGAGGCTCATAGTCAACCTGAACATCGGGCAACAGTGACTTTGAAGACTTGCTGATGCAGCAAAGTCATGTCTATGAAGTCATGCACTACTGAGTAACACACTTGTCATCTTTAATTCATATGCTCAGTCGTCTGTACTAGTGCAAATAGTGCCTTAATAGTGGTGTGTTATAATATCTGATCTGGTGAAGTGGGTCTTACCTTTGTTGCAGCGTCCACAGTGGCACCAAGTTTAATAAGGTCAGCCACAACCTCCACATGGCCTTCTTTAGATGCTAGATGAAGAGCGTTCAACCCATTCTGAATCCAGAGAAACAGATGAATCATGACTGTTTATAAATACTTTTTAGGACTACAATGAGGCATATCAGATGGAAAATGGTTCATGGTTAATCAAATCTAAATCAGAGCCACTCAACATTAGAAAGTCTCTTATGCTCACCAAGGCTGTATTTATTTAGTCAAACATAGAGTAAAAACAGTAGCTTTGTGAAATATTATTACAATTTAAAATTGTAATAATATTTCTAATATATGCAGATTTGCTGCTCAATAAACATTTACCAATGCTAAAAACAGTTGTGCTACTTAATATTTTTGTGGAAACCCTATTTAAGTATTCTTTAGAAATTTCAAGAGAAGAGCATTTATTTGAAATAGAAATCTTTTGTGACATTATAAATGTCTTTACTGTCTAGTTTGGGAGTATATACTGTAGTACAAATTTAAATGTTAATTTTACAAAAAGGAAGGTGTATGACCTGGTTGCAGATGTTGATGTCCACACCAGACTTTATATAATCGAGGGCTTTCTCGAGGTTTCCAGCTCGGGCTGCTCTGAGGTAACTGGCATTACTGTCAGTCTGAAAGAGAGAGAAATAACAATCAGATCTTCCAGAGATACCATGAGCTGATGCTTTCAATTATCATGAGGGAGAAGGAAGTCCTCAAAAAAGAACAGTTAACAAAATCCAATCTATAGCATAATCTGCATCTGCAAGCAAAAACCAAAAATAAAAGTAAGTGACGAAGCATATTTTGATGGATATGGCAACCACATAGCGACATACAGAGATTTCCGCGCAGACAAGCCCCAAAAAAATCAAACAATTTTGCCTATGCATCAAGTGCTTTGAGAAGTGAAGTGCAGCTCAGATCGGTAAACAAACGGATTGTCAAGATTCCCACTGCCTCTGCTGTGTCTGATAATGGGCTAGCTGACATTTGTAATAACAGAAACACAAATAAACAGTAATTCTGTGGAGAACTGGCTGTTGTTATGTAAAACAGGGCCTGAGAAAGAACTGCAAGGAAATGTCACAGCCCTATAAGAGTGGGATTCCAGAGGCATTCACACAGGAAGTGATCAGCATCAGGAGCAGTAATGGATGCTTTCATCCTGTCAGAGTAAAGATGTGTGTCACACACACGACTGAGCATACTGGAATTACATGAGTATCCTGGTCTTTTCCATCCTCCTCATCTTTTTCCAATTGGAAAAGAGGTTTTGCCGGTGCATTTGCCAAATACTGTATTTTCCTATATATGTGCAGTGACTTATATTCCATAGCGATTTATGTAATGCATTTAAAAACATGAATGAGACAGTTTAGCTTTAAATAAATTTGTTTGGGCTTGGAGTTTATAAGAAATGTTGTTTATAATGAATGTCACTATTTGTTTGTTTTATACTTATATTTTTACTTCCTGTTCTGTTCTAAATTTAGATGATTTGTTGTGGAGTGAGGAGTATTAAAATACATGTTTCTAGTGTTTCTAGTGTTTGTAAAGGTTGGTTTTACCAGTATTTTACATTATTTATACATATAATAATAAAATGTGACATTTGTATACATGTAAACATTATTTATACATATAATAAACAACTTATCTATGTTTTTTCTCTCAACAATACAATTATATATATATATATATATATATATTATAATATACAGTATATTATATTTTTTCAAGTTTAAAATAATATATCTTTTTTTTTTTTGCAGAGCAGTAATGAGAATTAGAGAGAAATTGTGCTTAAAATGTTATTCAAATAATGTCACAATAAATAAATAAATAAAAATTCTTTATCTGTATGTAAATTCATTTTCTTGTATATTTCCTTTCATTTTGGGGTGATATATGACCAGACATTTCTTGACAGTTTTTTTTTTTTTTTTAAGATTCTAAAGAAAACATGAAAGAATTTTGTTTTAACATGTGTATGGAAGCCTATATCGTGAAAAAAAAATCAACAAATCAATCCATGTCTGCTGTTCAGGTCCATCTTTATATTATAAACATGAAATGACATTCAAGCTCCTTGTATGTGATCATCCAGCCACATGCTAATTTCAGCACTATGTGTTAGCTGTAATGAAACAGCATTTAACAACAACAACTGTCCATCCTAGATCAAGTCCAGACATACTTCTCATGCATGCTTTAAATGTTTCATCTGTCAGTGCATTTCTATATTAACAGGTCTCAATGCATGAAACGCTAAAACATTTTTATTCTAAAAATATGAATGAGGTCAAACCTCAAATAATTCAACACAGGGCTAAGTGCAGTTCTGATACATGACATAAATAAGCATGTAATAACTGTAGATCTGAGAATAAGGAGTGGTCTGGGTTAACAGTTCAGAGTCCAGATATTCACACACTGACAGAGAGAGAGAGAGAGAGAGAGAGAGACACAGAGGGTGTGTCTGCTGTTGCTGCAGTGCTGTAGTCCTGACACACCCTGACACACACATGAACACATGCTGTCTGCATCACAATCCATTCACACACTCTCCTAACCCACCCCAGTTATCACATACTAGAACAGTGGTTCTCAATTCCAGTCTTCGCAACCCCCCGCTCTGCACATTTTGTATGTATCTCTTATCACTACAGACGTTTATTCTATTAGACCATAAGTGCCCTGAGAAGTGGACATTACAGGATATTCCACCATGATTCCAAATTGTATTTATTTACAGAGGTATATTATGTCACACTTCACATTTCTTTCGTCTGTGTGTGAAGACGCTGCAGACAGTGGGCATGAATGAATGTAAAGTAAAGTAAACCTCAACAGATTTCCCGTGCTCCGGGAATAGGGAGCAAAGAACACTGTGTAGGGACCATGTCATTCGGAACACAGTTCATGCATGGAGCTCTCTTCTAACGAGCTGGTTATCTGAATCAGGCGTGTTAAATAAGAAAGACATGCAAAATATGCAGAGCGGTGGTACACAAAGACTGGAATTGAGAACCACTGCACTAGAACATCTATGATTTACATAACTAAAACTGGGAATCAATTTTCAAAACATTTTATACTGATATTCCAGATCTTGATTCTTTTATATTCTTCCAATTTAAAGTCTTCAAGCACAGTTTCCATACAGTTTGGAAGAGCATTGCGTTAGTGTGCAAAAGGTCATGGGTTCGATTCCCAGGGAACACACATACTGGTAAAAAATGTATAGCCTGAATGCACTGTAAGTCGCTTTGGATAAAAGCGTCTGCTAAATGCATAAATTATTATTACTTAATTAAATTATATAGGCTAATCAAAAAAGGAAAACATTATAAAACATATAGTACACATTAAATAGTATGTCTGTTACAGTATGTCTGAATTTGCAGTATTCATAAACAAATACTGTTTTTAATAGTCACAAAGTTTGTTCCTCATTAACTCTTTCTCTGCCACTGATGATACTTTCCATTATTTATTATAAAATGCTTTTCTGCCTTTGTCGAGTTATTCCGGAAATATGTATTTTCAGTGTTATATGGTAGGGGGCGCTGTTATGGATTTTCTGAAATAGCACAGCACTTCTGAGCCCAAAAACATGTGAAGCAGAAAACTGAATTTTTGTCAGTCTTTGACAAAAATAAAAAATGTTCAGCGTTTTTTTATTTTTTTTGTTATTTTATGTAAATGACCAACATTCAAGTGTTGATAAAATAAGAACAAATGTGGCATTATTAAACTGTTGCTCGTCTGTTTGCACATCATAGCAACACCGCAGCATTGGCTCAACCAATGGTGTGAGTTTGGTGCGTGGCTATCTGTTAGCTTGACCAATAGCAGGTAAGGGAAATGTTCAAGAAATATGTTTGAAACAGTTATTTTTACAATTTCGTTTGGTGGTGCTATTGGTGTAGAAACTATACACTTCACCTTTAAATAAATGATTGCGTAAATCTTTGGAGGCGGCATATGAAATGCACCCAAACAAACTACAAATGAGGTTGTAAATATTTCATTCGGGTTAATTAGTAATCATTTCATACTCCTTCAGTCTTTCACTTCTTCTAACAATATCAGTGCCTGGCTTCTGTCTAGATAGCATAGCATGTAGAAATGTCATCCTCTGTCTGTGTGATGTGGGCTCAACGTCTGCAGTGTGTGGGAGTTTCCTTTGAACATCTCTCTCTCTCTCTCTCTGTCTACCTCCCTCTCTCCATCTCTCTCTCTCTATCACTAGGAAGCACACAGTGTGTTCTGGAAAGGCCTCAACAAAACCTGCATGAAGTCTTTTTCTTCATTACAAAGCAGGACTGTGCAATATAAATAGAATAATTGATATATTGTTTTCTGGCAATATAAAAAGCGACATCAAACATTGCAATCATTTTAATGAGTTTTTTTATTTAGCCATTAAGACACTTTTCAGACTAAATTACAGTTATGTTAGACTGTCCATTTCAATGAATCACTTCATAACTGACTCAATGCTTCATTTGCATCAGCACTCAGGAATGTTTATGGCATGTCATTTTTATGAATTAAAATGTTCACAATAAGATTTGATTTGTTAAAATGTGTTACTGCATTAGGTATCATGAACTAACAATGAACAACAATTTTTATTTATAACATGCTTTCAAGAATAATTCACAATAAGGCGTTAACATGCATAGGGTCGATTTTGAGCAGTTATTTTAGTATCACTGAGATACTACTATAGTTTTTTAAATATTTTTTTATTTATTCAAAAAAATTTAATAATAAATAATTTTTATTTTTATTTTAGTTAAAGTTTTTGCAATTTCTTAAATTTACGTTAAGTCAATATGTTTTTTAATACATTTTATTTAGTTTTTTTTTATTTAATTTAATTTAGTTTTAGTTCTTTAGTTAAACAATTAAATACTGCAAATACAACAAATAAATACTGACGTTATTTGTTAATTCATGTTCTTTCATAATACGTATAATCAGATATTTAAAAAAAAAAGAGTAATAAATGCTGTAAAATTATTGTCAGATGTCATTAAAAAAATTGAAGCTATATTGCCTAGCTCTAGCTGCTAAAGACAAAACTGATTTATCTGACACTAGAAAATCTTCATGAGCTCGGCCTCGGCTCATTGATTTAGCTGTGGGTGTCATGCAGCATTTTGTAGAGTATACGTAAAACTCAATACAAAATGATTTGTTCAATATCCTGGCAAGGAATGGCCATCACATGCTCATGTATAGATTTAGAAAACAAGATTTTTCTTAGAAAGAACATGGAACTCGATCGATGTATCACTACAAAGAAGCCACCTTCATTTATAAAGGACCAAAAGGTGAAATGAACTTGAGAGGCTAAAACCCAGTGAAGCGAAATCTGTGGTTAACAGACAGCTCAGATCATCAGAGTGAGGCTATGTCCCGTCCCGCAGACCAGCGCTGAATGGATACGGGCTTTAACAGGGCTGATCATCAGCCAGCACTAGCAGAAGCATTACAGGAACACACACGCTAACACACTCCCAATATGAGGCCAGTTACAACCAGTTAGAAGAGCTCATACACAGACCTCTGATGCTAATTTGCCAGTGTTATGATGTTCCTGCACAATTTATTTTAT